GGAGGAGGAGAAGAAGAAGAAGAAGAAGAAGAAGAAGAAGAAGAAGAAGAAGAAGAAGAAGAAGAAGAAGAAGAAGAAGAAGAAGAAGAAGAAGAAGAGACAGTGGTGGTGGCAGCAGCAGCAGTGGTTGCAGCTGCTAATATCAAGGGCAAGTTTTTTTAGAATTGGTACTGAAGGGCTAAACATCCATAGAAACATAAACAAAGTTACACAAGCCACTCCTGCTTGAATTTAAATGAAATGAATAAAATGCTTCAAGTAATACTTTAAGATACCATATAATAATTCCAAGACCTCTAGTTCCTAAAAATGTAATTTCAAAATCCTTTTGGTTTAAAGATCCAGGCTAGATGACATATTCCTATATTTCCAGCACTCAGGAAGCTGAGGCAGGTGGATGGCCTTCTGGGCTACATGTGAAGCCTCGCTACAAAAGACAGAAAAACAGAAGCAAACAAATAAAAGAGAAAAAAAGTCAGAATCACAGATTTGGAATTATTTATTGACACAAAATGGAAATGTCTACTCCAGGACATTAAAATAAAGAAAAAAGTTATCAAAAGAATGATTGGGATAGATAAGGTTTTGGACACTTACTGAAGTCCATGGCATGTTGACAATGCAACAAACGAAGCAGGATTTCCTCGGATCTGGCCCTGGTAGTAACAGTGCTCTCCTCCCTGAAAATAGAAACAGAAGCCATAAGCCTTTGCCACCCACAGGGAGAATCTGCCATGTCCTTTCACGGGTCTGCTTACACTGTAGCTCCGTAGTACAGATCTGTACAGGATTTCATTATTCCAATTCGTATTACCAAACCAATTCCAACAGAAATATTCAGAAACATTCCTTGTGAACTGACTAGAAATCAAGACAGGGACATAAATGTTGTCTGAACTTTGCTCTTATGTACGTGCAATTAGAGGAAAAAAGAAACAGATATTGAAATACTCATTTGCATTTGAGAAAGTTTAAATCTTCTTCCTTTTTCATTCATTTGTTCATCCATTCATTCCTTCTTCCTTCTTTGCTTCCTCTCTCCCTTCCTCCCCCTAGTTTTGAGAGATTCGACCCTGAGTACCAGGAACAAACCAATGCTTTCACATGGAGCTACATAAAAAGTAATATAAATCATGTAATAGTCACTAACCTATCCCAAAGGAGGGAACATGAGTTTTTATAACTTTTGCATCAAAACCTGAGCACCAGATAGACAAATTTAGGCTATTCTTTTGTCAAACCAGTAACTCTTTTACTGGTAAGTAGTCTGAGGATGGGGTTTGACATGAAGAGAGACTCGCTTCCTTAGACTAAATGTGGCCAGAGAAGGACCCAGTAAATTGTTTGCCTTCTTACACTGAGTGCTACTCAGTGTGAGCCAGAGACCAGCAGGACTGGGGATCTTGTACAATCTCAGGCCAGACCACAGACCTTCTACATCAAAACCTGCATTTTAGCAAGGCTAAAGAACTCATATGCACATTGAAAGTTGAGGAGTTATGCTCTGAATGATCTTTTTCCATTCTTCCTGCAATTTATACCTTTAGTAGCTAGAGGCTTTTCATTAAATTGACTCACTGGTATACTAAAGAGAGAAATATGAAGGATTGACAGTAAAGGGGCAAGTTTGTTAGATTAAGGGTTGACTCCACTTAAAATACTCAAGGTTTGTCAAAAGGAAGGGAGAGGACAGGATTGAAGACAATCTCTTTATGAGAGCTCCAAGCCAAACAGGCCAGTTGCTATTGTTGCTCATGACATAATCCCATGGGAACTAGTGACTCTCAGCTTTGGAGAGAAAGTAGAGAGCAGGCAAAATGACAGACAATGCAATTCATGACATTACCCACTCTACATACTCAGAGGAGTCACTGAGAATCATGAATGGGTGGGGGGGTTGTGCTTAGATTTGATGGAGAAGATAGAGTGATTATTTACAAGGAATGTAATCTAAAAAGTTGTAGGTAATGGGGGAAACAAAGAAACAAATCCTAGATAAGATAGGAAGACTTATTAGGAAAGTTGATTCAGTTTAACTATTAAAAGCCTGAATTATCAGCTTATTTACCTTCTAAGCTTTGTAATCTCAAGAAAGTTATAGAATTTACTAGTTTCTCAGTCTCCTCATCAATATAATGGGGAAAATAATCTCAAAGGGCTTTCATAAGGATTAAAGAAGCACACACACATACACACACACAGAGTCATGAAGCATTTGAAATAATGTTTGCATTCAGTAAGTATTCGCTGTTATTATAACTATTTTATGACATCCAGATATCAGGGGCTCATGCCAATAATCCTGAATCATGAAGTTGTGAGATGAAGATTATGGTTTGAAGCTAGCTTGGGCATTAAGTCCAAAGACTTTCCAGTTAAGCAGTGAAAGAACTGGACTGAAGGTGTAACTTAAGTAGTAGAACACTACCTTTGAGCAAAAAAGTGGAACAAGAGCTCAAAGCCATAAATAAATTCAAGCCCTGGTGCCGGCACAAACACACAAACATAATAATGATTATGTGTCAATTATTGTTTTACTCCATTTATCCTTAAACACAATCACATTTAATCCTCGCATCAGCCTTAAAAGAAATATATTATCCCTATTTTACACAAAAGGCTACAACTAAGGCAGTCCATTTAGGAAGTTGTTAACAGAGGTAACAAAAAGCCTAACAGTACTTAAGAGTTGGCTCTAGAGTCTGTGTGTGATCCATGCACTGTAAATCTAAGTTTTACCCTAAGACTAATTTATTCTATTTCACTTTTCCCTTTATGATTCTAGTAAGGACAAGAGTACATTTATAGCTTAAATGTCTTCCATTGGGTTGGTAGATGGTGAATGCTTTATAATTAGATTCTAAGTGCATGAGATGACATTATGATTAGGGTGAGGCTGACTTCCTGGACTCATTTGATTGGACCTGAAATCAACACTCTAGCTTCAAACTGGCCAGACAGGAAAGGTCATCAGTCAATCAGGTTACCTTGCCAGGGAAAGAATTCTGCTTAAATGTTTCCCTAGAATGCACAATGATGAACTAAACCAGATCTTCTCTCTCAGAGGCCTAAGACTATAGAAAACAACAAAGCAAAAAGATAGGAGAAACAAAGAAAGTAAAACACACAGAAACAAAGAAGATAATCATAAGAATTACAATATCAAATCAGAGAAACATAGGAAGCCAGCAGTCATTATAAGAAGGAGAAAAATGCCAAGGGCAAAGCCTATAAGAGAGGATGTATAAGTAATTAAAGTTTTTAAAAATATAAACTCTGGAAAAATCATGTTACACTTATTAAAAAGACAAAATTCATTTTCAAAATCATTCCTCCATTATATTAGGGAGTGTTAGAAGATTAGATAATAGAAAACAATATTTCACTAATTTTTGATTCAGAGAAATAGGAACTGATCCAAAAACAGCATATGATCAGACCCCATCTGCACAAATGCCTAACACTGCGAAGGCAGAGCAGAGCTCAATGTGGTTGAATCATGACTGAATGTTTCCATGACACTCCAGGAGAAGCATAAACACCAAAGGGAGAAAATCTCCTCAGCTCCAGCTCCAGCTACTATAATTTTTCAGACCCCAATTGGTAGTATACATATCTCTTTTAAATCATAGTAGAAATCTATATTTCTCAGATATTATTTGCCATCAGTCAAAATTTACTTCAACTAAGAAGTAATGAAAACATTTTTCTTTTAAATATCTGGAAATTTTTTAGTCCAAGATGTTTTAATGTTATAATCTATATGAATCTATTATCAAATTATTAAAATAAACTTAATTGATTTTCTAATTTAAGTAATTATCTTAGTCTACCTTTAAATTATACATACTTGCAGCAAAAAAGAATTTATTGCGTACACAGTAAAGAGTAACCAGACCACTTATCTACAGTGTGCAGGTTCCTTCCTAGAAGGGAAGCGTTTTGACAGATTTTTTAAATTTTAATTTTATTGTCAAGATGACGTACAAAGGGGTTACAACTACATATGTAAGGCAATGAGTATATTTCTTGTCAACATTGTTACCCCCTCCCTCGTTTTCCTCCCACTTTCCCTCCCCTGTAATGCTTCTGCCCAAGTTGTAAAGTTGTCTTGTGAATATCAATGTTGCATTGGTTCACCCTTTGTCCTTTGTTTCACCATTTTGTGGTTCTCCTTCCCTTCCCTGATTCAGATAAAAGTATATACAATACACAGGGTACCAAGCATTTTGACAGATTTTTGTGCAAATGTCAGGAACACACCATGCACACATAATGTACCCATACATATGCAAGCAACCTTGTAAGTGTGAAAATTGTTTTATCCTGTGTACACCATTCCACCCCTTTTGACTTTTTCCCCCTTAAAGCATACCTTGGCATTTTTCTTTATCAATACCTCCTTCATGAATGGTGGCATAATATTCCATCATGGAAGTGAATCATAATGCATTTATACAATCCTATACTAATAGATAGTGAGAAAATCTAACTTTGTCATAAACAATGTGGTGATAAAACACCTCTTTACATATTTACATGCACATATGTCAGTTTATATATGTCAGATTATCCATAAAGGCGTCAAAGAAGAAAAGAGCCTTTTAAACTGTAATAAGTGTTTAAGGGGATAAATGTAATTGAACTTTTTTGAAATGTGCCTTAAAATATTTAGTAGGGGGGGAGGAGGGTTGGGGGAGGTGGGAGGAGGATGGGATGGGAAGGGGAAACAAAGGAGGAGGCTACAATGCTTGATAAGAAATGTACTCATTATCTTGCCCATGTAATTGTAACCTCTCTGTACAGTATTTTCACAATAAACCAAAGAACTATTTTATTTTTCAATTATATATTTTCATAAAGACCATAGAATTAAGCCAACTTCTTCCAATCCTTTACCAATGATAAAGCATCTCCACATCTTTCTATAACTATTCAGGATCAGATGTTTTAAGGAAGCAGCTACTACATTTGATAATATAAGACATGCTGAAGGAAAAGAGAAAAGCTAGCACATCCGAACAGAGATAGGCTCTTTATCTGGCTGTCAATCATAGTTTTATTCCTTATTGCTTCTTTTGTTCTAGAAATAAAACCATTGTCCTTAAAATTTTCCCCACACTGTTTGATGTAATAACAGTCATAATACAAGAATTATGATTACAGATATTTATTTTTAGCTAATTAGATGGTTATAGCTGAAAGATCTACCTCTACAAAAAAAAGCTATATAACAATTCATGTGATTAGTTATTAATCTTCCCAGTAGAAAAAAAAGGCTTATTGCAATTTTTATTCTATTCTATAGAAGTCAAGTGATCATTTATTGTGGAGCTTAAAGACATATCCCATTTTATTAGACAGCTGACATTATCTCATAAGGTAAAAGGAATTCAATGAGATGATAACACAAACGGATGTACACAGCCTGGATTATAGAATGATGAAAACCCACAAAACAGAACAACACCAGCGTCACAGCTATCTTTTCTCCATCCAGAGTCTTACAGGAAAATTCAAGTACTGTTCAGCTCCAAGACAGTCCAGGGTGACATTCTCTAAAATGCTTAGATTACCTCCTCCTCACACATTTCCCTCCTCTATATGTTCATTTTTTTAACCTATGATATATGTCTTTCTACTTGCATTTCTGTCTTGACTTATTCATCAAGCAGACTAT